GGACGCCAAGGCTTAGTGAAACAGATTTACCCCTCTAGTGGAACTGGAACATAAACCCAGGTCTGATGAGTGCAAAGTCTCTTTTCTGCTTTTCATTCCCCTAGGGAGGCTGGAGAAGCCTCTGGGATTTATAGATCCTTTGACCTCCTGGGAACATCATATACAAGCCAATTCCGCCAAGCCCAACTGCAGATTCTGGTCTACTCCATCTTACCTCAGCTTCTTGGCTCATAAGGAGCACCCATGACCCTCCACTTCCCCATGGAGAGCCTGGAGTCCCTAAAGTTTCTGCTTGGACAGAGACAGACAGATAGGCCACACCTCAAAGGGCATGCAGAGGTGCAAGGCCTTTGCTCAGTCACAACACAGCCCCCTGCAGTAAAAGCACAGCCTCCAAAAGGCAGCATTAGCTGTTCCAAAAGGGAGCATTAGCTGTTCCAACCAGTAATTAAAAAAATAAACTGATGTTTTAGTCATTTGGGTGAGTCACAGCAGAGGATCTCAATGTCTTTCCAGAGCAGAGTGGGAACTCTCTGGTATGCGTGAGGCCCTGCTGCTAGTGGGGTGAGCTCCACGCAGGGCTTTCTAATATTGTGCTGGCACGAGCACCCAGACTTTGTACTTGGGAGCATTTAGAAAGGTTCAAGACCATCAATGCTCTACTCCAGAAGGCAAAAGCTAATTCTTTCTCACTAGTAAACCTCTTCTGGGTGTTACTGGGGTTAGTGCCCATTCAGCAAACCAAATCTCCTAGGCACCAACTTCTCTAAAGATGAGGTCACATCCCTTTCCTAAGGGCACCTCCTGGGTGGCTATAAATGTGATGCACCTTTGAGACTTTCCTTCTCCCAGTGGGCTCCTGACTACCAAGCTGGACCCTTTTCCTCCTACTGTGCAGATCTGCTGGGCCCATCACCTCTGATCCCTGTGCCATAATAGATGGAACTTTTCTGTGAACCAACACAGACCCGAGTTAGTAATACGTATGTTCTACACAGAAACATCCTGTATGGGAAACAAGGCCCAGCTAACCTATAAAATATATATAACACAGAGCCAACTGTGTCAACTTTTGATGTAAACAACATACTACATGCATGCTGGTCCACCAGCCAGATAAACCAAAACAAGAATTAAAAGACAAAGGAACAGTGAAATGTTTCTTAGAACTCTCTATGTTAACTCTACCTGGAACATAAGACTTCTGAAAAATTACTGTTTAAGGTAACTAAACATTCCCCTACAGTACCCCCATTAACTAGATACTAATAAAAAGTTAATCCAAAGGACTGACCCAGCCTGTATATATTTTAGAGTAGCAGGACACATGGAAATAAAACAGTCAATTGGGACCGTAAAGAAACATAAAAAGGTTGAAAATCCATAAAAAAGATCATGGAGTACTAGGTTTTTCTATTTTTCTACTTTTATTTTTCAAATTTTATTTATGTGAAAATGTACTTGTTTACATAAAAAATATTCTCTGGGTAGTAAAGGGATATTTCAAGAAAATACCAAGGGCACAATTTTATTCATTCACAGCAAAGTTAAGTTGATAAAAGGGCCAAAGATGCCCCCATGTGGCTAGAAAGGAAAATGCTGTGGTTTAAGAAAGATGGAAGGGACACACAATCCCTTCTTTAAGAGGCCTTGGATTTTCCATGGGCTTTTGCATCTTTTCCACAACTTGCAGTTTTATTACTTGTCAAAGCTTGAGGCTGGTGTTCTCACATCATGTCCATCAAGAGAAGAGAGGTTTCGTATTTCGAAAAATACACACTAAAACTTTAAGTAATCAACACCAACCCTTAAGATCGGCTGAAACTCCACCACGGTGACATGAACCTTGTAGGACTCACAGCAGCGCCCTGGTGTGTGAAGAGCAGGGCAAGGATGGGGGGTGAAAGAACCCAGTTGTTGGAAGCAAAGCAGATTCCAAAGAACAAAAGCAGCTTTAGTCCCTCTTGGAAAACAAGTTCAGCTTCTGTTTATACCTTAGTTATCAAGAGAACAGAAGCCAATGCCAGGGACCAAAAAAGAAAATAAGAGAATACCACAAAGATTTAAGTCCATACAATCCGTCAACATGAACTTGACCTCCAGACCCTTAAGGCAAGCACCACTCAACCTTATCATACATGGGTTAATAACCTATTTCTTTAAAGACAAAATTCCCTTTTCCCTTATACCAGAGGTGTATGTATCACACATCACACAATTATAAAATATACGCATAATGAAAATAATTTTTAGATGTTTTAAAAAAACGTTTTCAATGTTCTCTCATTAGACAGAAATAAACTTTTCTTCTCAGAGAAGAAAACGAAGACAACCAAGTGCAAAGAAGGCACTCAGAGCTCTAGCTGGAAGCTTCCCTCATCATACAGTTTTTAAATTCTAAAAGGGTGAGCTGACCACCTATAAAACCTCCTCCAGGACACCGAGCCTTAAACCTGGGGCACTGCAACACACAGAGACGCAAGACACATCTTTTGTGCCTCCGGTCACACCTTGGTACCAGACTCAAATGAAGGCTAATACTGTGCCCAAAGTGCACGGGCAAGGAGTGTATGTAAACATACCACTCATCTAACACAGAAAAATACAAGACGTTAAATGAAGAGAAGCATAATATAAAATTAAATATACAGCATGAGTACAAAGTTAAACCCACACACTCATGCACCTCCCATCGACAGACTAGAAGGAAAACATTAAACACCAACAGTGGTCATAACTGAGACGACTGTGACTGGGGTGATTTTGTTGCTGTTTTCGACTTTGATTTTCCAAATCTTTAATGAGTACACGCTACTCTTTTACAATGAAGCAAATATGCAAACAATACGTATTGACCATTTATCAAATGAATAATTACAACCTAATTCAATTATCCTAAAATTCTATCAAGATAAGACACAAGGTTTGGGGCCTGCATAGGATTTAAATGTGTCAGGACGGGGAGGTTGGGGGGGTGGCGGGGGGAGGAGGCACAAGAGAAGATTACTGAACCAGAGGAATTCAAGGGCATGAATTCAATCTTGGCTCTGTGTGAACCTGGGTATTGATTTCCTCATCCTGTCAAATGAGAGGTTGGGCCAGTGCTTCCTAATCCTCAGTGGCTCACTGACCCCTCTAAGTCAGAGATCCTTATTTCCGGAGAAGTGGTGGTAGTGGTGGGTGTTCACAGAGCTTTTAGAAATAATCCAGGAGTTTTATGGACTCTCTAGAGGTCCTTGGACCGGGTCAAGAACACTGGTTAATCTGTTCTCTTCTGCAGCTCTGTCTCCAATGACAGAGGGAAGTATAATATGGTCCTATTTTCATTTCTTGAATCTTTGCTGAGGGCTGGGTCTAGGTGTTGCCAAAACATGCCCAGGTCATCAGTTTTTTGCCCTAACCAACAGCCACTTTTCAAAAAAAACTTTTTAATGTTTATTTTTGAGAGAGTGTGCACATGAGCGGGAGAGGGGCAGAGAGAAGGGTGGGGGAGGACAGAGGATCTGAAGCAGGCTCTGTGCTGATAGCAGACAGCCCAGCGCGGGACTCAAACTCACAAACCATGAGATCATGACCTGAGCTGAAGTCGGATGCTCAACTTTTAGACCCACCCAGGAGCCCCTAGCCACCTTTCAAAAGCATGGCTTAACTGCTCAGCCCCCATTTGCTTTGCAGATAGGAAGGAGCACCATACAACAAGTTCAGTCTAAACAGAATATGAGACTACTGGTGTAGAATCAAAATCAAGGTGTGAAAGTTTAAGTACAGCAGAGGGTAACTGAGACACCAAGAGAACAACAACAAAAATACTCTTTTTCCAGAGGCATTCCTGCTGAACCCTGACATTCCAGTGAGAAACATGTTTTAAGAACATGGTTACCCTGGCCTCAGAATTCTCTAAGGCAAACAGGTAAGCACAGAAGGGATTACAAGGGGACCCACAAAAAACATTATTTGATCAACTACAAATTCTCTGCCAACAGATGAGACTTTCTTAAGCAACATACTGCTCATAACTATCTCGCTCCATTTATTTGTTTTTACTTTTTTATTTTTTACTTGAGAGAGAGAGAGAATCTTAAGTAGGCTCTACACTCAGTGCAGAGCCCAATGCAGGGCTCGATCCCATGACCCTGGGATCATGACCTGAGCTCAAATCAAGAGTCGGATGCTCAACCGACTGAGCCACCCAGGCGCTCCACCCCCCCCAATTTCTTATTTCTATCATCAATCATTTCTCCATTCAAAGCAATGAAAATATTTCCCCCAATCGCAGGATTCAAACAGGATGGACAGATTTCAATTCTGAATACTGTTACATTAAAAATAAAACAAAGCTCCACTTTGTAGGTCAAAAAAACAAAACAAACTCAAACCATACATCAGTAAAACTACTACAAAACACTACTTTCAAATAGTTTGGAGGTAGGGTTATGGCTTCATTCTGTTGTATCTCAGTCACATCTGGGAGTTTTGCTTACCTAATTATTTCTGAAATAAGCAGCATCAAAACAGCTATGAATCAGGAATGTGACGTTTCCAGGAGCCCTCCCAGGTCAGCCCTTCTTCTTGGCATCACTAAGCTTTCTCCCCCACCACCTAACACTAGGCCAGTTCCTTCCTCAGGACTGATACAGGGGTCATCAAGCCTATGTACCCAGAGAAGTCTTGCAGGTGACTCCAGAAGTGGGCACAGGGCCTATCTGCCCGCTGTACTGCCTCTATTCAGAGAATGAGAAAGCCACCCCTCCTCAAGAAGCAACTATGGATGACAGAGACAGCATGATGCTCTGTAGTTCGGACCCAGACCAGACTCCAAAAACAATCCTTTTGGCCTCGGCTAAGCTAAGGTGATCAGCTTAAGTCAGGTTTAAATCCCTCCTGAATTTACTGATGGCTTTTTATTGATGCTGGTAACCACAATTTATCCTCATGAATTACCATACTAATGCCCAGTGACTTTAATAAGGGGGATTGGGCAGGGGTTAAAAATAGATTAATTTGTTTCTTTTCTTTCTTTCCTTTTTTTTTTTTTTTTTTTTTTTAAGAAAACTGCACGTAATGACCAATGGGCCTATGGTGGAATACCTCTTGGCACACCAAGGCAAGCTACTTTATAGAAACTTCCCAGCTGTGCAAGAATTTAACTAGCAACAAGCCTGAAAATTTGGTTACGTATATAGGTACAAAGCTGGTTCATCAAATCCCTATTCTGGCCCTCAACCCAATGCATTTCAACTAAAGCATCATCTACCTCCTTCTTTACATTTATCAAACACTTGAATAGGTAATGTCCAGCCACTCCTTGGAGATGGCTTCCTTTTTCAGACACCGGGCTGCTGAACTGCTCAGATGCCTCTCGGTCCTGGGCCCCATTGCTAGAGCCTTTACAATTTTCTGAAGCCTCCATCCCTCCCTTTTCCTCACTCCTTTCATCCTCCACAGGTTCTGGGTTTTCATCCTGGGAAAGCAGATCCTGGTTTGAGGAATGGCCCTCAAGAGTGGAAGATTCGCCTTCCTGTGCAGCAGGCCCACACAGGGCGCCCTCCCGGGGGCCCTGGGCCAAATCCTGGCTACTGCCAGACTCTCTCGGGGTGGACTTCTTCTCTTCCAAAGCTTGGATGACGTCCTCAGGAGCTCGCGGAACTTCTCTCAACTGTCTCACTCGCTCCCGTTTCTTTCTCCTTAAATGAATCCAGGAGTTTTCTATTGCTGTTAGGAAAAGGCTAACCTCTTCCTTTCCACAGGGGACTCGTTTATGCTGAACCTATTCGGAGGAAAAACAGAATTTGATAGAAAATCACTTTTCTCAAAACTTCAAAAACAAAAAAGAAAAGAAAAGAAAAAAGATTATTGTTAAGGAAGTCATCAATGTGCTTAACAAAGTACCTTCAGATCGGTGAGGATTTTTTCAATCCACGTTGTCACAACTACTATGCCTTCCACTGTCTCAGAGCCCAAAGATGATGCTTTGAGGGATAATTCTTTCATCACAGACTCTAACACCACGAACGTGATGGGTTTCCTTGACTTCTCTAATTTTCTTCGCTTACTGGGTGGTGACTGAAAGAAAAAGAAGGCATGGGGGAAGAAGTTATCCAACTAATGAAATTTCATGTATTATAATGAACTCAGCTAGGGACATTTTCATGACTTCTACTACCAAATGTAGAGCACTAAAAAACGCAAAGACCTTTGCATGCCATACCATGCTGCCTATGGTCTGGCTATCAGCATATAACAGCCTCCAATTACTGAATGTCCCTCATCTATGTGTTGTGCCCAGCACACACCTGTATGATTATTTATTTCATAGCAACTCAAGGACCCTGGGGACTCTGTGTTCTATTCTATCAAGAACTGCATGGGGGCGTCTGGCTGGCTCAGTTGGTAGAGCATGTGACTCTTGGTCTCAGGGTTGTGAGTTCAAGCCCCAGGCTGGGCATGAAGCTTACTTAAAAAATTAAAATTAAAAAAATAAGAACTGCATGGTTTAAAATTGCCTACTTGTAGTCCAACTTTATACTTGTTGAGGCTTGAAGATCACATGTGAGGAATGACCAGGGTCAACTAGGATCACATGGGCAGAGAAGGAGGCCTGCTGCATCTTGGCTAATGTTGGGACCAAGCCAATGGCTAGCTGTGCACTGCCTCTCTGCTGGAAGAAGAGATACCAGTGGTGATGAGAAGAGTGGATTTGAAAGTTGGTTCCACACAATTCAAGACTCTCATCTTTCTATTTCAAGCTTAGAAAGTGAATTGTACTCTACCCACTAGAGGGACTCAAGTTCCATTTTAAAAACTAAATGACATATATTTAAAATTTGTTTCTTTAAACATTTACTAAATTTTTTAAATGATTCTTAGTTCAGGCTAGATATATTATGAACACTTTAAGAGGCAGACTTCTACCTGTTGACAAAATTTATCAAAACTTTAAAAAATTAAGATAATTCTAAGGGTCAGGGTCAAAGTGAGCAGGTGGAGATTATAAGGAGAAAGGCTCATAAAGAGAAAACACTTTAGTCAGGTTGAAAGCCCCTTTCCTGCAAAAAGCAGTCGCCGATAGTGGTGTTGCCGTTAACTGCAATTCTGCCTGGCAATGGTGACAGAGCACATGCATATACACACTGTCAGGTCCACTTCCTGGGTGAGGCCTTGTAAGGAATAATCAGCAACTCCACATCCCACATGCACACAACAAAACAGCTAGTTTATTCCATGCTAGAAAACTTCTAGATCATATTTCTAAGAAACAATCTATATTTTCCCTTTATACCAAGACATTTAAAAATGGGGGGGGGGCGGAATTAGAGAACACTAGAAAACAAGTTTAGAAGAAAAGGACCAAAAACAAAGGGTACATATATGAGTAAGAACCTGCTCTTGAAAAACAAATCATGGACTCCAAGCTCTAAGTCTGAACTTGTTCAATTAATGTCTCAGACAAGATGAGACAAATTCATATTGATATTAACACAGTAGTATTGCTATTAATCAATCACCCAGCCTAAGAAACATATTTTCTATAGTCTACCGAGAGCCTAACACTTTCCATTAAGGAGTTTAAAACATGACGATTAAGCTGTGGAGGAAGAAAGATAATGGTGTGTAGGGGGGGAATGGGAGAGAAGAACCAGATTCCCCATTCCACTTCCCAGCATCCAAGGCTGTTACTATGGACAGTTCACTGTAACAGGAGCATCCCTGACAGCCCACCCAGCACACTAAAGGTCACCCAGAAATATGGCTAAAAGGACAGTGCCTGCTATCTCTTCTGACAGAGATGGTAATCATTTGTGTTTACAACTTCAAACCAGCAAAGTGAAGATTTTGCCGTTTCTCGATTGGTCATGCTGGAGCTGGCCTACAACACTCTTTCTCCAAAAGAAAGAATGGACTCACCATCATTTCTAGAAATTAAAGGAGAGAAATGTGTCCTCACTGAACCTAACAAGACCTCTATCAAGGATCCACTTTCCAAGTTCCGAGGGAATCAGAAATAACAAAATAGACAATTTATTACCCTATTACCCCAGGATGAAAATGAAAACTTCTGCCTCTCAAATATGGTTCCTTTACCTTGCATTCTGGTCCCAGTTTTCCATATGTAATGGCCAACTGATAAATCTAGTATTTCTGAATATTCTTAGTGAATTACTTTAATACACACATACACATACACAGTCCTCCCAAGACTGTTTTAGTTTTACTCTATTATAGAAACTAGGCACTCAAAAGACAGATAATTTATAGTCCAGAAATTCTTAGGGTTTTAAATGATTAAAGTCTAACATAGGCTTGGCTTACAGCAATCATTCCTTTCCCCCTCTTATTTGTACTGAAATTCCTTTTTATCCCCCCCTACCTTGTTTTTTATAAGTTTATTTTTGGGGCGCCTAGGTGGCTCGGTCGGTGAGGTGTCGAACTTCGGCTCAGGTCACGATCTCACAGTCCGTGAGTTCGAGCCCCGCGTCAGGCTCTGTGCTGACAGCTCAGAGCCTGGAGCCTGTTTCAGATTCTGTGTCTCCCTCTCTCTCTGCCCCTCCCCTGTTCATGCTCTGTCTCTCTCTGTCTCAAAAATAAATAAACGTTAAAAAAAAAAAATTTATTTTTGAGAGAATGAGAGTGGGGGAGGGGCAGAGGGAGGGGAGCAGAGAAGATCTGGAAACTGGCTTCATACTGACAGCAGAGAGCCCGATGTGGGGCTTGAACCCACAAACTGTGAAAACATTACCTGAGCCAAAGTTGGCTGCTCAACTGACTGAGGCACCCAGCCCTTGAAATTTTTTTTTTTTTTAATGTTTTATTTTTGAGAGAGAGAGCGCGCGCGTGTGCAAGCGGAGGAGGGGACAGAGGATCCAAAGTGGGCTGTGAGCTGACAGCAACGAGCCCCATGTGAGGTTTGAACTCGTGAACCATGAGATCATGACCTAAGCTCAAGTCGGACGCTCAACTGAGTAAGCCACCCAGGTGCCCCTGTACTGAAATTTCTTAGCAGGCAGGGCTAGAGTAAAATACAGGAGCAGGCCTTGAGAAATTAGTAACTAAACTCAACCCCATAGGTCCCCAACAGCAGGTAATCTTATACCCTGCCACAACACTAGAAGCTGTTTTCCCCCAACAGAGATAACTTATTGCAAATATGCTTATAATCTCAAATCACAAGTGTTTTCAACAAAGGGTGCCACACTCAAACTGTCATCATCTAGTTTAAGCGGCAAAATAACATCAATAATTTAACATTTTAAAATGTAAAACAAAATCACTTATTTACCATGGTTTATTCAGTTTAATGTGAAGAACCAGAAGGTGAATTTACAACTGATTTTGCATTAGAAAATATACTACTATATTCCCCAGCTGAAAGGACAATGTGAAAGAAGTTTGGTGAGGAACTGTAAACTCCATAGGGGATACTAGTTTTGTATTTTTTGAATTGCAAGGATTTAATGAATAACAATCAACAGGGGGTGGGACCTCGAATGTTATTTTGTTGCAGCATTTAAGAATACATTAGATTGAGGGGCACCTGGGTGGCTCAGTGGGTTGGGCTGAGACTTCGGCTCAGGTCATGAGCTCACGGTTTGTGAGTTCGAGCCCCACGTCGGGCTCTGTGCTGTCAGCTTGGAGCCTGGAGCCTGCTTGGGATTCTGTGTCTCCTTCTCTCTCTCTGCCCCTCCCCCACTTGTGCTCTGTCTCTGTCTCTCAAAAAAATAAAAAAAAATAAATAAATAAATGTAAAAGAAAAAAATTTTTAAAAAAAGAATACATTGGATTGAAAATATAAATAGAAAAACAGTTCTTTTTTAATGTTTATTATTTATTTTTGAGAGACAGAGACAGAGCATGAGCGGGTGATGGGCAGAAGGAGAGGGAGACAGAATCTGAAGCAGGCTCCAGGCTCCTAGCTGTCAGCACAGAGCCTGACACGGGGCTCGAGCCCATGAACTGTGATCATGACCTGAGCCAAAGTCGGAACCTTAACTGACTAAGCCACCCAGGCGCCCCTGAACAAAAACAGTTTTTAAAAAAAAAATTTTTTTTAATGTTTATTTATTTTTGAGAGAGAGAGAGACAGACAGACAGAGTATGAGTGGGAGAGGGGCAGAGAGAGAGAGAGAGAGGGAACACAGATTCTGAAACAGGCTCCAGCCTCCAAGCTGTCGGCACAGAGCCCGATGCGGGCTCAAACTCACAAACCGTGAGATCATGACCTGAGCCGAAGTCGGTGCCCAACCCACTGAGCCACCCAGGTGCCCCTAAAAACAGTTCTTAAATTTTAAAATATGCTTTACCTAACAGGGCTGTAGATAAATTTCTTAAATCCTCACTCTTACTTTCATTTCTACATCTCAGTGGTGCAATCAGTCAAGAGACTTTCAAATGAGGTGTAATGTGACACAAATCCATGTAGCATCTGCTATGCTGCCAAAGCTCTGTTGTTAACTATGGCTAAGGCAAAAACTGTGTCAAAGAAGCCACAGGCTACAGGAAACCACCAAGTTCTCCCCAGTATCTGCAGGAAAAGAAGGGAGTCATTCACTACAGATATGCTGAGCAGGTAGCCACAGCCTCCTCGTTTTGACAGAACAAGCTCCAGACTGGTCCTGAGGGGAAAGGAGGGCTCTTCTTGCTCTCGGCCACTGCAGTGGAGGCTTTGCTGTTCTGCTGCGCTCTGAATGGCTGCTGCCCTAAGTCCTCCAGAAACCAGCAGAATGCCTGTGAGCTATTATTCTGCACAGACTATCATTATCTGGAGAAACAGAGCCAAGGGGCCAACACCGACGCCTGACTAGAATACAGACAGGAGGTGTGCTGGGAAGGACAGCCAGATTACCTCACCAACTATGCCTTATTTAAATGTGTATCAGCTCTGCTGCCACGAAGTGGACTGAATATTTTGTTGTCCAAGAGTGCAGCTTTCCTATTAACAGTTCAGTGGGCATTTCTATTGCTATCTTAATCTGACAGGTTACTGTTTAAAATGTCCTGAAATTGGGGTGCCTGGCTGGCTGAGTAGGTAGAACATGTGACTCTTTTTAAAAAAAAAAAAAGATTTTATTTTTAAGTAATTTCTACACCCACTGTGGGGCTCAAACTCACGAACCCAAGATCAAGAGTCGCATGCTCTACCAACTGAGCCAACCAGGTATCCCAAGAAGGGGTGGTTTTAACCCTACATCTGTATTTCCTTACTCTAAAAAAACAAACAATGGAAGGATAAATTATAAAACTGTGTAAATAGCGACCCATGCAGCAGTGAGGTTTCAAAGACACAAGACAAGCTAGATTACTAAGTGTGTGTGTGTGTGTGTGTGTGTGTGTGTGTGTGTGTGTGTGTGTATATATATATATATATATGAGATTTGATTTTGAAATCATGTATTTTTCACAATTACAAAATTAAATAACACACAAAAAGGAATCCCTAAGAAATGAAATGAATGGGCTTGGTGGCATAAACCCGCAAAGAGGAAACATTCCAAATGACTTTAAAATCTATCACGAGACAGTCCCCACGGACAAAAGAAATGAAAAAACGACAAAATAGTTATTTTCACAAGTCATTTTGTTGATGATGTTAATCCTGAGACTGTTGTGGTGAACTGTGGGTCAAAACAAATGAATAATTATGTTAGCATGGTTGAGGATTAGGCTGACTTTTTAGAGCCCCCAATTTCCTCATCTAGCAAGTGGGGACAATACTTCACTTGTTAGGTTTAAATAAAATGACATAACATGTGTGATGATTCACATAACAACTCCTCCATGAAGTCAGCTCTGACTAGCCAGCCGGAACTGCTTTCATTTTAGGAGCTCCCTAACTCCTGACCATTCATTTCAGCACTTACTCAGACATAATTCTGTAGCAATGCTGTGTGTGCGTTTCCCTCCCATAAAACTAATCACCATAAGGATAGAAAATGGTGTCTTCTTTCTTTGGTGTTATCACAATGAAGATCATACTTAATAAGATAATTAACTAAGCAAAGGGTCCTTAGCTCTGATTTTGCTCAAAAGCTCAGTTCCTTAATCCAATCTGTTTTACAGCCTGCTGTATAGCCTGGTACAGTGCTGGTTTTCAAGCCATTTAATAGCAGAATCTCTTCAAGAAATAAAGTCAATAAGTAATATTGATGTAATCAGATCATCTCTGGTTAAAATGACAGCAAAGCCTGAAGTTCCAACCTGACATCTGCCCCAGCTGTCATCTCCCTGTGGCACCCTACACAGAATCCCTAACCTATCTAGAACCAGTTTGCAAACCTATGCAGTAGTAAAGAGAGCACTGTCAGGAGACCCCCAGCTGTAACACTAACAAGGTACCTGATTAATTTGACCCCTTCCCTCCATCTGCTTTCCAAAAGCCTTCTAGCTTTACTTCCTTAGACAGGAAAGAAATGTCTTGAATGCAGAGGGATAATTTTTTTTTTAACCAGAATTCCAGGGCAATGGTCATAACTAAGAGTGCACAACTTGCTGGGGCCACACTATTTGTCCTTCTTGTTTTTTATTTTTATTTTTTTTTTTAATTTTTTTTTTCAACGTTTATTTATTTTTGGGACAGAGAGAGACAGAGCATGAACGGGGGAGGGGCAGAGAGAGAGGGAGACACAGAATCGGAAACAGGCTCCAGGCTCTGAGCCATCAGCCCAGAGCCTGACGCGGGGCTCGAACGCGAGATCGTGACCTGGCTAAAGTCGGACGCTTAACCGACTGCGCCACCCAGGCGCCCCTGTCCTTCTTGTTTTGACAAGTGTTAAACTTCTGAAAGCAAAGCAAAGCTAAAATAACATCCTGAGCAATTAGACGAGAAGCTGGGACAAAGAGGCATTCTAAGTGGCTTGTTAAATCCGTAAAGAACAGTCCTCACAATATGCTTCCTTATATACATCATCAGTCAGGAATGATTGTACAAAAATTCTATCAACACCAGGACTCATCCTTTTGTTGCTAAAATAAATCCAGCTAAGAGCAATGGACTTAGTGTAGGCACTTGAATCAGAATTTTTTTTAGCATTCAGCACCAACAGCAACGAGTTAGTGGGCCCGAGATAAGTGAAAATAGAAGTTGCCATAGTAACTTGCACATTTACCCTAAAAAGGCAGGAGTGGGGGTGGGGTGGGGAAGTAGGTCAATATTTCTACTTAACTAGCTCTAGTCCTTGGCTTCCTCTCCTCATCGAAAGCAGCATCCTCCTACCTACCCACCCCTAACAGGAGCAAGAGGGAGAAAGTCAGGTGAGCATTTCAAAATGCAAGAGGTGGGAAGAGGTCCAGGTAGATGAAAGGAGAACCAAGAGGACAGCTCACTGAAAACCTTGCCAGTGCCCTGGGACCACCGCTGGGAAAGCAGTTGCTGATCAAGGGCACCAGTGCTAAGAAACTGTTGCTGGGTTACTGCAAATCAGAAATTGCCATTTTCCCTGTAGTGGTTTAAGTGCACCTAATGGAACACTTGGGAACATGTTATTAACAGCTTTGGGTTGAGGAGAGTGGTGGGGTGGGAGGAGTATTCTGGTATGGGAGAACCTGAGGCCCTTTGCAAAAGGCATTCTTTGATGGTTGAAGCTATGAACAGAGCTCAAGGATGGCCTAAAAGACAGGGAGGGAGAAGGATCCTTTTCAAAATAAGCTGATTTTGCTAACGCAGAAACATAGTGCCCTTTGATATTTTCATCTGAGACAGCTACTAATCCAAGAGGGCAAAGGGGACTCTGGGTTCTGAGATGGCATGGAATGTGCCCAGAGCCCATTATAGGCTCATCCACCTGTGGTGCCAACAAATGTGGGAAGCAGGTTAAAGAGAAATCATTTGGAAACAGATACAGTTCCACCTTCCTGCAACTGTTAATATCTGCACAGGGATAACCCAGTGTCTGTGCAGGGACAATCTAGGGCATTACTCATGATTTTAACCATTTGGTGTGAAAGCCCCAATATTCTAGAAAATGACAGAAAGAATAATCTGTCAGGAAAGTAAAAAAAAAACAAAAACCCAGAAACATCTTTTTAAATAGTGAACATTTTGGGGCGCCTGGGTGGCTCAGTTGGTTAAGCATCTGATTTCAGCTCAGGTCATGATCTTACAGTTTGTGAGTTTGAGCCCCACGTCAAGCTCTGTGCTGACAGCTCAGAGCCTGGGGCCTGCTTCCAATTCTCTGTCTCCCTCTCTGTCTGCCCCTCCTCCACTCATGCGCACATGTGCTCTCTCTCTCTCAAACATAAACATTAGAAAATAAATAATAATAAACAGTGAACATTTCAGGGGCACCTAGGTGGCTCAGTTAAGCGTCTGACTCTTGATTTCTCTGAGCAGCTCAGAGCCTGCTTGGGATTCTTTCTCCCTCTCTCTCTGCCCCTCCCCAGCTCGTACGCGCACACACACACACACACACACACACACTCTCTCTCTCTCTCTCTCTCTGTCTCTCTCTCAAAATAAATAAACTTAAACAAAAACAAAACAGTGAACATTTCAAACACTGACCTCTAGTCTCTCTATATTGCATTGTACAGAGGGAGGCATAGGCTTCCACAGGATAGGCCATTCAAACTTGACTGGGACACTTATTTCAACCCAGCAGCGCACCTAGTAGCAGAGTACATGGAGGACAGGCTCAGTTTTAAATCTGAGCCCATGTATACAGAAACATCTGCAAATTGTCCCCTGTACTCCTCTGTCCTAGGAGAGAAGGGGAAGAGGCTCACAGACACAGCAACATTTAAGACTTGAAAGACCAAGAGCAATCAAGACTTTGGGAAAGGAGCACCCATAATAAGCCTATTGTATGGATAGGGGATCACAGACCTGAAGGACCAGTACTAGGCCTCCATAATTACTATGGGAAGAAGGGGCACAGTGCCAGCAATGTGTGCATAAACTTAAGACAGGAGACTCCAGGTGACAAGGCTGATCACTCTTGTGAAGGAAATGTGAGAACAGATGCTTTCCTATTATCACCTCTCAGTACAGCCCAGAAAAATTACTCAGTCTAACCACTTCAGAAGTATTTTTCCTTTACATATAATAGCACAAAGGACAGAGAAATTTGTGGAACAAATCATTTGTTAAAACATTCTATTCCAGAAAATGTTCAAGCTTAGGCATATGCAAAGTAGAGAGACTAGGATAATAACCTATACCCAGCTTCAAAACTGATCAATATTCCAGTGGTAATCTTAAAGCTAAGACAGAACCCTTTACTGGAATAATCCCTAAGTGTTACACATCAAAAGCCTGCAACACAAAATGGCAATTTCTGTATTCACCCATAACCCCAAGAGATAGCTACCCTATGAAAGAAAGCATATCAATAATAAAAAAAAATAAAACAGACTTCAATTTCAATTCTAAAGGAATAGCCAACAGAATAATTATACCTGCAAGGTATTTCTACAGGTTATATGACCTAAATTTTTAATTCCCAAAAGACGCATTTCTAATTCATTTATATTTGCTAAACAAGATTCACGGTGCTGCCCAAACCCACAGAGAAAGGCTCCATGGTCACCAGTCAGCCTTATAGGACTGTGCCTTATTTTGTAACACTTCCCATTCTGACATAAGCATCTAGGGCAAACTTGAGGGAAACAAGACAGTACAGATTTATTTATGGCCTACTGAAACCCACCATGTGCTGGCATTTGAAAAAGCTATAACAAAGTCTCTACTTACGGGCACTGTAACATCATCATAAAAACTCCAAGCTAAAGCCCATCTCATTGTCCGGCCTTGACAGAATTCAGTGTAGGTGACTTTAGGAACCTGAAACCAAGAAACATGTCATCTCATCAAACTGAAGTCATTCTACCAATATGTTTTTGGCTCCTGCCTCATGTTAATTATGTGTTGGTTTTTCTTTTTATCAGTTAACAAACACTACTATCCCCAGTTATGCACAGTTATCTAACAATCAATGAATAAATTATCTCTCAACAAAGTTGTGGATGTTTTCCTCTCCTAAAACATTATAGAGAATTTACAGTTCTGGCTTGAAGGTCCAAATATACAAAACACCCAAAATAACACAGCTCCTTCAGAAAACCACTGGTAAATGATTCAAATATTTTTGTTGTTGTTGTTGTTATCTTTTCTTTCTTTTTTAAGGAAAGAGAGCCACCAAAGCCTGGCTAGATACAGCTATGTAGTCTCCCTTTTATCTATCGGATTTTATGGGAAAAAAATGAAATTATTTTGCAGCTGTTACAATTTTAACAAAGAAAAGGTGTGATAGGGAAAACAGGATGAGTACAATGTCAGAGAGAAACCAGAAATCAGAACCTTGGTTTCTGCCACTGACCACACATCTGACCCCCTTCTCTGAAAACTCACCTGGCTCATGCTTACTTGTGCCAAAACTTCATAAACTGGGAGAGAAGTCAGGGGGCAGTATTAATTTGCCATCTGCTTTTCAAAAAAGAAGCAAGGGTCTGAACTCATGTGGATTGTACCATAAAGGGAACCACACTTGATTGAAGACCATTCTAGTTATAGCTGATCTTTGATAACTAGGCATGTGACCCAGAACAAGCCCCTTAACTTCTGTAGACTTCAGTTTCTGTAATTACAAAGGAATCCGATGTGGCGTCGGTGGCAGATGGCACCAGGTTTTTTTCATTTCTGGGAGCTCTCATCCTGTTTTCCCCATCTTTCCTCTGTTATAATTGTCAAAGAAGGCCTTATAAAAATAATTTATAAAAAGCCTCTTTTAGCCCCAGAATTACAAAATTCAAAAATAAACAAACAAAAAAACAAATTTAGAGTTTTAAAGTATAAAAGCAAATTCTACACTCTGCCATCACAAGTAGATACACCAGAACAGCAATGATAAAGCCTTACCCCTTGTATGCGAAGTTCTTCCTTTAGAGGAGCCAAGCTGCATTTTTTCCCCAGCATACAGCTGTACCACCTAGGGGGGAAAAAAAAAAAAGCAGAAGTAAAACACTGTTTCATATGGTTACATTTTTTAATTATTTCTCAAGCGAACAAAATGAGAACAGACATAAAAAATTCTGAGTTAAGTTCCAAGTGACAATAGCAAAAATTATACATCATGTATTTAGGAAAAAAACAAACCTAACAAATGAAAACAAGCCCAAAGCAAACCCCCCCCCCAAAAAAAACAACAAAAAACAAAATCCACTTAGCCTCTCCAAAACACCACCTATACCATTTTAACAGAAATTATAAAATCTGGCATGAACCTGTATTTTGAGATGGCTTAACCTGCAAATAATTAAAGGATATTATATTAGTGTTTCAAAAGAACATGAAGTCAATTTCTTCTATAGTAAATACAAATCTAGAAGAAGGAGTGGGGAGAAGATGGAGTGAACTGGTTAAAAGGTAAAAGAATAGAATTTAGCCTATGAAGGATTAACTACTATGCTTTCCATCACAAGCAACTAGGAAACTTGACAAAATATACGTAACAATTGTTTTTCAGACATTGGACAACTACAGTGAAGACCTATGATCTCAGACAGATGAGGTGAGCCCCATAATTGCCAGAGCTTACTGCCTGAAGGAAAATTTCCAAGCAGCAATGCAGGGAAAGGTCATGCAAACAGATCCCAATAATCTTGCTGAATTAATGAGGGAGAGATGGATTTCAGAAGCCCACACAGTAAGAATCTGAAGGGCAAAATACAAGAAAGGAAGGAGGTGCATAGAGAATTATGGCCATCTGCAGAAGAGTTCCCTGGAATATTCTGCAGAATAATGATCTGCATGTGTGTGAGGTGGAACTCTGTGAGGTAGGGAAAGAATTCCCAGAAAGCAGTCAGCTGAACAATTCCTAGAGTCCAGACAGAGCTGGACTAGTTTGTAGTTCTACTGGCCGAAGCAAAAAACCCTTGTTAATAAAGGGGCATCTGGTAGAGTCCTAGAAAGGATGCTGCTTTGTAATGGGGCTAGAGGCTAGTCTATCTTTACCCTAATGAAGCTTAAAATTAAAAGCAAGACTCAAAAGGACCAAAGTGATCACAGGTAACTTAAGTAAACATCAGAACAAAATCCAACACTCTTTAAAGGAACACAATGAAATGCAGCACCCCAAAACAAGATTTGCAATATGTAGCATCCAACCAAAAATGACCAGACATTAAAACAGGCAGGAAAAAAGGGGGGGGGGGAGCAGGAAAATGACTTACAACCAGGATAAAAAAAAAAAAATCAATTATTAGAAACAGATCAAGAAATGAGAGATGATGAAGTTAGCAGATGATGACATTAAAACAGCTCTTAGAAATATGCTCCAAGACAAAACATGGACATAGTACGGAGTATAAAGGAAGATATCAAAACCAACCAAATGGAACTTCTAGACATGAAAATTATGATACCTAGAATTAAAATTTCACTGGACAGGATTAACAACATATGAGATTCTGCAAAAGACCTGTGAACCTGAATACATACCAACAGAAACTACCCAAAATAAAGCACATGGGGAAAAAAAATACACATAGCACCTATGACCTGTGGGACAGTATCAAGCAATACACATAAGTGGCATTTCAGAAAAGGGAAGAAGAGACAAAAAATATTTGAAAAAAGGGCCAATTTTTTCCAAAATTGAAAAAAATTATAAGTCTACACACACAAAGTCTAATGAACCCCACAAAGAAACATAAGGAAAATGCTATCAGGGTACCTCACAATTAAATCACTGAAAATCAGGGGAGCCTGGGTGGCTCGGTCTGTTAAGCAACGGACTTTGGCTCAGGTCATGATCTCACGGTTCATGAGTTCGAGCCCTGAGTTGGGCTCTTTGCAGACAGCTCAGAGCCTGGAGACTGCTTTGGATTCTATGTCTCCCTCTCTCTCTCTGCCCTTCCCCTACTCACACACATACACGCTCTCTCTCCCTCTTTCTCTCAAAAGTAAATAAATATTAAAAAAATATTTAAATTACTGAAAATCAGAGATAAAGAGAAAATCTTAAAAGTACAGAGAGGCTGGAGACACTTTTGTAAAAAAATATTTTATTTTTAAGTCATCTATCTCTTCATGCAACATGGGGTTCAAACTTACAACCCTGGGATCAAAAGCCACAGCCTTACTGACTAAGCCAGCCAGGACCCACAAGTCTTAGAACACTTTTAAAGGATTAGAATAATACAAAATATGGTCTCAGGCTGTAATAACTAATTAGACTAGAAAACAGTAAGAGAATCATAGTTTTCAGGTCGTGATCTCATGGTTCATGGGATTGAGCACTGCATCAGGCTCTGTGCTGACAGCAGAGCCTGCTTGGGATTCTCTACCCCTCCTCTCCGTCCCTCCCTGGTATATGCTCATGCACTCTCTCTCAAAGTAAATAAATGAAAAAACTTTAAAAAAGTTTTTTCTTTAAAAAAAAGAGAAAAGAATTCAAATATCCAAAACAATTTTTTTTTTGGAAAAGAACAAAACTGGAGGGCTTACACCACCTGAATTCAAGACTTAGTATAAAGCTCCGATAATCAAGACAATATGGTAATGGCATAAATATAGACATACAGATCAAGACAATGGAATATAGTCCAGAAACAGACTCGCTTATATGATCAGGTGATTTTTAAAAAAACTTTTTTTTTTTTTTTAACATTTTATTTATTTTTGCAAGACAGAGAGACAGCAGGGGAGGGGCAGAGAGAGAAGGAGACTTAGAATCCAAAGCAAGATCCAGGCTCCAAGCTGTCAGCACAGAGCCCGATGCAGGGCTCGAACTCACAAACCGCGAGATCATGACCTAAGCTAAAGTTAGATGCTTAACTGACTGAGCCACCCAGGAGTGCCCTATGAGCAGGTGATTAAACAAAGGTACCCAAGGCTTGCTCTTCAAAAAACATGGTTATAAAAATAAAAAGGCAGACCACAGACTGGGAGGAAATACTTGCAAAATACATCCTATAAAAGACTTGTATTCAACATTATATAAGGAACTCCTACAACTCAGTTAAGATTAATAAACAGATAAAAATATATAGGGAGACTTCTAGTTTCTAGTCCAACATGTTAAGAAGCTGGAAGTTGCCACACTGTTTAAGTAAAAGGCTGAACCAACTAAAAAATTAACTCTTCCTATATCCATCACAGAAGCAACTATTCACAGGGGAAACCACTGACTCTAAAATTAGAGAAACCAACAGGTGAATACAAAGAATCACAACTCACCAGAACAAAAATCCCGGAGCAAAACCTCCAAGGGAATCAGTGCTGAGGTAGGGAAACTGAACTGCAGCTGACAAATTGCTGGAGACTCAGCAGGGACAGGTCTGAGAGAGAAAAAACCCAGGAGGACTCTGTCATCAGGACCCCAAAACTTTTATCAATTTTACATCCAAGAGCTTGACCAGGTTCTCACAGTGAATATGGGAGAAAAATTCTCTGTGCTTCCAGCAGGGAAAAGGGAAAAGGAGTAATCCTCTAGAGCATCCTGTTCTTAACGAGGCCTGCCCTCAAGAGAAACTAGTTAACCAGATCTTAACCTGTTAAGGTATTATCAGAGCCTAACTGACATACAGGAATGGCATCCTCCAACTCCAGCCTACTCTAGCCATCCTGTCCCACCAGGATGGAGGGGAAGAGAGTAAGGAGGGACTGAGAAGCAAGTGTGAAGTTCACAGTCCAGAGGGACAGGCTCACTAAAAGACTGATCTATTCACACTACAGAATATCTCCCCTCTCTCCACACCTCACCCACCACATTACTAAAGGTCTATTTACAGCAGTTCCTTTTACGCAGTATATTATGTGTTTCTATTAAGAAAACTAACAAAACATACTAAAAGGCAAAAAACAGTTTGAAGACACAGAGCAAGCATCAGAACCACATATGGCAAGAACGTGGGAGTTATGAGACCAGGAATTTAAAACAACCATGATTAAGATACTAAGGGCTCTAATGGATAAAACAGACAGCATGTAAGAACAGATGGGCAATGTAAGCAGAAATGGAAATCCTAAGAAAATGAAAAAGAAATGCTACAAGTCAAAACCTCTGTAATGGAAAGAAGAATGCCTTTGATGGGCTCATCAGGAGACTGGACACAGATGAAGAAAGAATCTCTGAGTGTGAGGATAGCTCAGCAAAACTGCCAAAACTGAAAAGTAAAGAGAAAAAGCACTGGGCAGGGAAACAGAATACAATATCCAGGAACTGTGGGACAACTACAAAAGGTGTAAAATATGTATAATTGGAATTCCAAAAAGAAAAGACAGAAAGGCACAGAAAAATCATTTGAAACACTAACAACCGGGAATTTCCCCCAAATTAATGCCAGACACGAAACCACAGATTTGGGAAGGTAAGAGATCACTGAACAGGAAACACACACACACACACACACACACACACACACACACACACACACACAATTTACAACTAAGGCATGAGATTTCCAAAATATGGAAAACCAAAGATAAAGAAAAAAATTCTAAAAGAAGCCAAAGGGAAAAAGCCACATTATCTATAGAGGAACAAAGAAAGAATTACATCAAACTCATCTTAAGAAACAACCCAGGGGGGCACCTGGGTGGCTCAGTCAGTTAAGCATCTGACTGCTGGTTTCAGCTCAGGTCATGATCTCACAGTCTGTGAGATGGAGCCCAGTGTGGGGCTCTCAGGTTTGTGAGATGGAGCCCTACACTGGGCTCTGCACTGACGGCACGGAGTCTGCTTGGGATTCTATCTTTCCTCTCTCTCTCTGCTTCCCCACACCAGCTCTCTCTCAAAATAAATAAAGAAACTTAAGAAAAGAAAAAAAAAAAAGAAAAAAAAAAAAAGGAGCCATGCGAGAGTAGAGTGAAATGTTTAAAATGTTGAGAGGAGGGGCGCCTGGGTGGCGCAGTCGGTTGAGCGTCCGACTTCAGCCAGGTCACGATCTCGCGGTCCGTGAGTTCGAGCCCCGCGTCAGGCTCTGG